GAAATGTTGGCCTATATTGATAGGATAGCATCTTTCAGTTGATGGAGATTTGTGGGATGCACATCCAGGGCACGAAGCTCCCATTCCACCACATCCCAAAGATGCTCTATTGTTGAGATCTGGTGACTGTGGGGGCCATTTTAGTACAGTGAACTCAATGTCATGTTCAAGAAACCAATTTGAAATGATTCGAGCTTTGTGACATGGTGCATCATCCTGCAGGAAGTAGCCATCAGAGGATGAGTGGTGGCCATAAAGGGATGGACATGGTTAGAAACAATGCTCAGAAAGGCTGTGGCATTTAAACGATGCCCAGTGGGCACTAAGGGGCCTAAAGTGTGCCAAGAAAACATCCCTCACACCATTACACCACCACCACCAGCCTGCACAGTGGCAACAAAACATGATGGATCCATGTTCTCATTCTGTTTATGCCAAATTCTGACTTGTCTGAATGTCTCAACAGAAATTGAGACTCATCGGACCAGGCAACATTTTTTACGGTTTTCAACTGTCCATATTTCCGCCCACAGGACTGCCGCATACTGGATGTTTTTCCCTTTTCACACCATTCTTTGTAAACCCTAGAAATGGTTGTGTGTGAAAATCCCAGTAACTGAGCAGATTGTGAAATACCCAGACCGGCCTGTCTGGCACCAACAACCATACCACACTCAAAATAGCTTAAATCACCTTTCTTTCCCATTCTGACATTCAGTTTGGAGTTCAGGAGATTGTCTTGACCAGGACCCACACCCCTAAATGCATTGAAGCAACTGCCATGTGTTTGGTTGATTAGATAATTTCATTAAAGAAAAATTGAACAGGTGTTCCTAATAATCCTTTAGGTGAGTGTAACTGCTCAATGTAACTGACTCAATAAAACGTGATTTTAGTTGGATCTGTTTGTCTGTGTCATACATACATCGCAGTCAATTATTCGTATTTAAGCAGAACCGTAAATGAGATTTGACAGCTACAGTGGAGACGAAGATTTTTAGCATTACACAACTTTAGTTTCTGTTACTCACAAAAAAAAAAAAACTATAGTATGGCTTCAGAAGACTTGTAAAGGTGCTTTTTATAAACTTGACAACCACTGGTCACTATTTGTTTTGGTTGCATGGAAAAGATTAGAAGAAAGAAAATCAGGTTTCAGACAACGTGAGGGTTATTAAATGATAACCAAATTTCAATTTTTGGGTGAACTATCCCTTTAAGCAGTGCTTGAACCCTCAAAAACTAGCTCATGAAATTTTTCAAAAACATACTAGCTACTTCCTTCTACAACTTAAACCACGTCTGCCGTTCAGAGATAAAGCAGGAGGAAACGCAAACATATCAAAACCATATTCCCTTTAACAAGTCAGAGCGGCCCAGGGGCCAAACTTCAACCAGCCAGACGTCCCATGGGAGGCAACAGATTCACAGCGGAACAGGGAATTTTTGGGCATGTGGTTCACAGGACTGCATGAAAACTGATTCAGAGAGGACTGAAACCAAGAAGCTGAAGCAGAGCTGGGTGCCCAGGGAACTCTTGAGTTAAGCCCACCACAGTGAGAGCTGCATTACCATTTATAGACTAACAGCGTGTGCACTAACAAGGCACATTAACTGTTCAGATCTGAAAAGCCTTAATGGAATCCTTTTCCCCAGAACAAATAATAATAGGGTAAAGACTATTTCTAGGGAAATAAACAGCAAGTATTTATTGTGGACGTTCATATGTATTTTCATCTAATGCAACCCTTGCTGACCCTTACTGATATTGATTTCAGTAATTAGGAATCATGGATTAGAATGCTGATTTATTTAATGCTGATTAGCCCTGCAGGAACCGTCTATTTAAATGCAAAAAAGAGAAAAAGACTAAACGTGTTTTTCGTGGATTCAATTCGAATCTTTTTTTCACAGAAGCCATTCAATAATGAGTAACGAGTCTTAAAAATTTTTTTAAAAAAAGAGTTTAGATTCAGTTTTAATAATGCTTGTGACAGTGACATCAGTTTCCCAAACTCATTGGGAAACTGTTTTGAGGTCATAGTATGGAAGGAACAAGTGTTTTACTGCCTATACTGTTCATTTCAGATGGAAACTGCAGTGACTTGTATGTATTATACGTATTTGTTTGGAGTTTTGCAAATATGTTGGTAGAGGCGGGTTTTTCCAGTGAAATTCGCTGCATTTGTCTGTCAGAGTGTCACAGTTCAGTGAAAAAGGAGTGAAAGACTAAGCTGACTTTCGCGAATAACATATGTGGTTTAAGGAGCAGTCAAACTATATATTTTTTTCCATAGAATGCTGCTGGGATGACATCTGGTTCCATCATGGAAACCAATGGGTTTTTTGAAATGCCTGAAATAAGGTCTTCGGTGAACACACGCTTAAGATATTTTCATGTTTTATTCAACAACATAAAACACATCAGTAGCCCCTTGTGAATGATTTTATAAAAGCTTTTCTTGTCTTGAAGAAGGTGATTGCTAACAAGTGGCTAAATGGGAATACAGAGGTAATCAGGGACATTGAACCTCATCTACTCACTAGTCGTGCACTTGCAAACTATTCTAACTCAAACTTTCAGGGATTTTCTATATAAAGACTGAAGGAGTTGGAAGCTTAGAGGTGGTGATGTTGAAGTCATGTGATAGTGGTGTAGTTCGTTTATGGTCGGCATTAAGCCTTTTATTTCAGGCGAGAACATTTCAAAATTTGTGTTCATTATGACGAACAAAACACATAATCTTGTGTTGGTCACAGAGCTTATTTTCTATGGAAAAATTATGGAAAATCAGGATGATGGATGGTGCTAACTTTAGATTAGGATTAGGCTACAGTCTCTTGACCACATGCTGAAAACAGAAACGCAAGTTCATGCCAATTTCGTTTCGTCCAATCTAATCAAACGTATCACTTATCGCAAATTCGTATCACATGACGACCAATAGAAAATCGATATGCCAGAGCTTGACCGTTGAATTCAAACAACACAACTTTAAACATGCAGGTTTTCAGCATTGAAATTCTCAAATTTAATTTATTTTTCCAACACAAGGGCTGCGTATGAATTCTCTTAATAACTTCCTTCAACTCTATCGACCTTGTTCAGCAGCGCCATGTCGACAGGTATGAAAGTGAGGCTGTGAGGGATAGACTTACCGTGTTTCCAATGGCATCCGCTGTAAAAAGCTGAATAAAGCAGCTAGATTACTTACAATTTTCCACAGCTTACATTGTCGGGAGTTTTTTGTCTACTGACATTTCTTTGAAAGATATTTTTCCAGTGTTTCATGAGCAGAACAATTCGAAAACACATTACAATACAGCCCATTGAAGAGATGCAAGTCTATCCCTCACAGCCTCGCTTTCAAGATCATTAAAAATCAAAGATGGTGCTGCTGTGAATAAGGCGTATGGGTTCTGTAGGTTTGCAAATGCACTACCATAATGTTACCATTGATTTGCATGTTATTCGACCACAAAAGTGAAAATAATTTGCTTGTTGTTAATTATGTATATTTTAACCATGTGCAACAACGTCTTTACTTACAACCCTTACATTTTAAGATGTCATGGGAGAGTCTGTTAGGAAAGAGGTAGGCCTAATAATGCAATATGATTTATACAACTCTGAATTACAGTCAATATGTCAGCTAAATCTGTTATCTTTCAGAATCAATGTAAAAACAACATCAACTTTGTGTTTGGGGAGGAATTGAATTTTGAACTGTGCAGAAGAAAGGATTGGCCTGTCATCTATAGAGGAAATCATTGTGACAGGAAAATGACAGGACATTCAAAATAAATTGACAAGAGACAGTGATTTCACAAAAAGGGTTTTAACCTAGGAACTAAAAAGAGAGAACATGGTTTAACCAAATACAACATTCCAAACAACCAATCAGATTTGAGAGACAAGTTTACAGTTAGGTTTAGGCTTACAACCAGGCTTGGGTGAGTCTGTATCAGTGTTATTCACATATTGTTTCTCTCTGATTTTAGGGATACGTTTTGGCTAGTTTAGGGGTAGGATTGGGACTACATTTTCAGGCAGAACAGGATCAACAAAACGTGTGGATCCAAATACATTTACCAGTAATAATGTTACTGAAAGACTGGGAAGAGAGATGCTGTAATAATGTAAAACAGTTATATAGTTTTTTTGAACATTCAAGCATGAAAACACATTCTAGTAGACCCCAACTAAATCAAGACTTTGAAAAAGGCCACTTTAATCGATGTTAGAATGTGAACGCACCATTATGCATTCTCAAACTAATCAGAATCCTGAGCTCTAAGCCTAAGGATCCCGTACTTGTAACCATCTTAGCAACCTTCTGAAATAATTGTCATAAACACACAAGTCTTTACTTGCAAGTTGTTTGGTATAAAAAAGAAGCTTCAGCCAGTAACATAAATACAAATGTAAATTAGTTCTCATTTTATAGTACATGTAAAAAGAAGGCCCATTAAAAACAAGGTCAACTAACAGTACTGTTAAAGGGACAGTTCACTTTGAAATTAATTCTTGATGTTTTAGCTTACCTCAAGGGCATCCAAGATGTAGGTGTCTTTGTTTCCACATTATTTTCAATTTTGATATCAAACCGTTCTTGTCTGTCAGTAATGGAGGTTTATGGGCATTGCTGTGGTTACATGAGGTAAAAACGATATAAATACTGTTCCGTTTTCTCACACAAACCACTCGTTTCGTGTCTTAGGCCATCAATGTGTACTTACATTTCCGAGTCATTAAATCATGTTTAATTTGGACTTCTCTGTGCATGCTCTTTGAGGTGGTGACCATAGACCTCCATTATATGACTCACAGGCAAGAACAGCTCAACCTAAAAATATCAAAATTGAAAATACTGTGGAAACAAAGACACCTACATCTTGGATGCCCTTGAGGTAAGCTAAAACACATCAAAAATTAATTTCAAAGTGAACTATCCCTTTAACGGGAGGAAAAAACTAAAGCAATTATGCAGAAACAAATGTTGTTTTGCACTGTATGAGCCAAATTTATTTAATGTTGGACTAAATACAAAATTAAAACTTGCAAAGTGATTTGAAATCTTGTACACTTTCAAATGCATTGAAAGAATAGATTATGGCATGACATATCAAACAAAACAACAAAATAAATGCCTTACTGCTAATACAATAGAATGCCAAAGTGAATTGTCGCCTACACGCTTCATCTGAGCGCTTTGAAATCAAACAGTAAAGCGTTGCCTCAGAAATGGTGACTGCATTACATGTACAATGCAAAATTCATTTAGAAAGAAAAGCAAGAAGAAGGACAAACGTGAGACATTTCATGGTATACTTTGGTAGTATCTATACAGTACATGTGAGAGTGATAGAAAAAGAAGATACGACAGGAAGAAATATCATGCTTCAACATGTAGTAGACGAAGACGACTAAGTAAAACGGGAAGAGCATTAAAATGTTTGTAAAATAAAAGATGAGGAAGAGTGACGTCTATGCTGCTGACCGGCGTCTAATGATGAAGGCCCCTCGCTGAAGCTGCCCTAAATAAATCCTCATCTTCGTACTGTCACTTGTCTTTCTCACCCAAATCTGCAAGAGAATCGAAATCCAAGACAAAGCACTTCAGTGTTTATCCTGTACCACCTTCTTCCAGAATCCAAATGAATCCTAAACAGTGATTTGTACTCCAAAGCCACTGGCTCAGCAAGTAAGAGCCCAGATCTATGCAGTGTGCTATTGATGCTGGCATTAAAAGGATGCAAATGAGACAAAAGCCATTGGAAAGACATCCTCGTACAATTTGATATGGATGCAGATTACAATAAATGAGAACGGCTAAATGAGAATTTTCCTCCTCTGGCTCTCCAAGGCTGATACACTTGGGCTGATCTCAATAACCCGCTGTTTATTTCCCCTCTGAGCGGGGCATTAGTTTGAAGAGCACAGTCATTTGTTTATCACCAATCAGAGGAGAGAATCAGACACAAACCTCATTGGTCCCCACAGAGCTGATGACACAGCTGATCTTGGTGTTCTCCTTGGACTCCAGATAGATTGCTTGACTTTTATGGTACCTGAAACAAAAGCAGTATTAGTCACTTAAGATGCTTTAGACTGAAAGACCATTACAGAATAATCTCTTTGAGACATCTCTTCACTGAAAATGCAATATTTTGGCTTAAAGGATATCACAGTAATTAAAATTCTGTCATCGTTTTCTCATTTTCGTGAAATTCTGCATGGAAAATTAACTTTATTGATGCAAGAGACTGATATGCAATTATAACAAATGTCTACAATAAAATTATCTCTGCCAAAGGGAGCATTGCCAGCTTCTAAATGTAGAGGTGTACTTATTTTTTTTTTAAATAAATAAGTCACATTTTAATGGTTATTTTGGGGTACATTTGATCAATTGATGAAAAAGAACCGGTTCATATCGAGTCCCTGATTTTTTTTTTTTTGATTCACTAAAAAGAATCAGCTCATCGAATCGGTTCAGAAAGAGTTTTTGTTGTTGTTATTTTGTGGTACACTGCTTTTTTTATTGCATTACACTCATACAGGCCGCAAACTCAGATTCACAATTCAGGTAAAATACACCCTAGATGAGCAATGAGGAAACAACCGGTTCTTAAGAGTCATTGTTCGCGAATCGCATTGTTCGCGGTTTTTTTTTTTTTTTTTTTTTTTTTTGACGTGTAGCCCGTCAAAGAGGACAACTCAATAGAAGTTCTTGCCTTTATTATTGTCTTTTTGTTCCATTACATTCAATACAGACTGCAAACTCACTTTTACAAGTTTGCTGTGGCACAAACACCACTAACTAGAGAGTCATTTCTTAAAACGCAGAATACATAGAGAGTGAAAGTAGCCTGCGGCTTCAACCTTCTCACATAAACATCCTCTGGAAAAGTTCAAATTATAGAGGCATAACTCAACCTTCTCCACTCATTATCAAAATAGCAGAATAAAACTGCATTTAATATACATGTAACATTATACATTTATTGCCTGCGGTATCACACCGAACCATATTTCCTCCTCCGCTCACTCTATCCTCATCTGCACAGAAATATTCCGGTTGGATTGCAATGCTGAAAGCTACGGCAGCCTACTGTCTAAAGGGCACGACTGGATGAATGCATGCTGACACGCTCATAAAAATCCAGAGGCATTCATGACATTTAATGTCACAAACGCATAAGACAAAGTAATCTCCAGTCCTCATCCTAAACCACAAGCTTCCTATGTATTATGATCACTTATTCAAAACAACAAAATATAGATTAATGGAATTTTTGGATCTTGATGCCCTTGATGTTTACATTATTAAATATCAGGTGATGGACAATGGTAAATACCATGCTAGGAATGTGTGACCTGAATCCTGGTACAGATTTTGCCTTGTTCAAGCCAACTACTCCTTGCAAATACCCCACACACACATTCTTATGTACATATATCAAATAAAACAACTGCTAATAGTAATAACTGAGAAATTGAAAATAGCACATTTTTACAGCCCACATAAAATAAAATTCAAAAATTGTAAATATCCTTCCTCCAATTTAATTTACCTACATGTCATGCTACTTTAATGCCGAAACACTACAAAGTTTTTCAAAATGTAACTTATGATCCAAATTATGTATACGATAGATAAACAATTGATAGAACGACAGAACAATATGACAGAACAGTAGTAGATAGAATGACCAACAGACAGACAGACAGACAGATAGACAGATAAATAGATAGATAGAACAAACCAACAGATAGATAGATAGATAAAACAACCAACAGACAGACAGACAGACAGACAGATAGATAGATAGATAGATAGATAGATAGATAGATAGATAGATAGATAGATAGATAGATAGATAGATAGAAATGACCAACAGATAGATAGATAAAATGACCAACTCTCTGATGTGACACTGTCCTATATGTAAACTATATGATAGAATTGAAAAGCAAAAGAGTGATTGTGCCATCTTGTGGTCAGTAGAAGTAAAAAAAAAGATTTTTTTTAAAGCTTCAAGGCCCTGCAGGAACCAGGGTGTCTGTCAAGGTTTGAGTGGTAAGCATGCAATTGGCCCCAGCTGGTAGAAGCTGTAAATACACCATTAATTTCCACAATGTAAATCAGTCAGTCTTCATAAGGGCTTTTCACAATGTGCTGTACCAAGGGTTATCATCCCTTTAAACCAACATCGAGTCATTGATCATTAAAATAATGCAAATAAGCATGTTAAATCAGAGCTAAGAAACCTTAAAGAAATCTTAAAACCTGAATATGTAACCTGAATTACTAATGTATGTAAAACACAATAACCAAAATTGTGTTCACCTAGAGTTTAAAGGTATCAACATTTTCAGAGAAAGGTAGCATTTTCAGAGAGGCTACCAATAGTGATCCCACCCTCTATTTAAAGTGTTGCCTGACTTCAAAACAGCAGGGAGCAAACAAAAGCACATACCATTATAATAATGAACATAAACAACTAAAAAGAGCACTTACCTGTAACACCTGACAGCTGCAGATTCATTTCAGCATTGATATTGTTGCAAGTAAAACCTAATCACGAACCCGAACGAGTAGAACGTCACAGGTTTCCATCTCTTCCCCATTACAGTAGTTAACACACCATAAGCTTGTTGATTGGGTTCAGGAGGAATTGTGAGGCGGAGGCAGATTTTTCAGTTGCCTGACGTCTATCTAACTCTAGCGATCTATTCGGACTGAATGCAACGATTGGAAAACATTGTATGCCTTCCGCAGATGATATATACATATAAATACATGTATACCACTTAATTTAGTGATTGATTTCAAGATGTAAAGAAATTTCAACCAGCATAACAAAAAATGTTTCGTACCCTGTCTTTAATGTGTACCTGAGTGTCAAAAGCCCAGCAGAACACAGAGAATCTTACCATCTCTTGTCATAGTAGAGTTTCCCCTCCTCTATCCGTGCCTCATACCGCTGGGACGGGGTGTCCACTGGAGTGGTCGGGAGGTGCTCTGGAGAGGACGGGGATGCTGAAAAACATCACACACGTTTGATTTCAATAAATTTCCCATTCATTTTTAAAGACTTTGTGGTTTAAAAGAAAAATTTGATGGGAAATCGTATGGGGAATCACCTCTAAAAGACAAAACCTCCATACCTGGTCTTTTCGGAGATTTAAGCTATAAAGGAAATGAAGCAAAAAAGATTGTTTTAATTTTCTTCAGCAATCTCAGGTGTAAAACACTACAGACACAGACAAACAACCTGATATCTTGGTCAGCTCACAGTAATCAGCAGTTGGCAAAAAATAAATAAAAAATGAATCCAATAATATGTCAGTGTCAAAACCTTATTTTTTGTGGTCTGCAGCCTTTTACCACTTAAAACACAACCGATTTTTTTGTCATCCGCAAGTAATGTGTCTCATGTATCTCTTTGAGTAATAAAATGTAATCAAATTTTCAGGGGATCCTGCTTTTTATTACCTAATAGAGAACTTTAAAAAAAAATCCTTTCTTCAAAGCCGAGACGCAAATCATGAAGATTTTCATTACAATTTGATTAAATGGACTGATTTTTTAAATAATAGCCTGCAAAGAAATATGCAAGTCTATTACATTTTTATAAATGCTAATGATATAAAATTAGATATATTGAAAATTAGGTCAAAAAGTTGATACTGTATCTAAGAAGCAGTGAAATTTGTACTTCGATTGTTACATGGCTTCATTTGCCAATTCCAATTCGTAACCTTACCTTGTTCAATGTTCTTAGATCTTCCATGATCTGTTCATCAGTAAGTAAATAATTTAACTGAGGTGAGGAGAGTTAAGAAAATCTGATCATTACAGCAAACACTGAGACATTTGACTGCACATCACATTTTTTACATTATTGATACGTCTTGCAATTATAATGGACTGGTCTATGGTCTATTAATTACGCCTTTAAATAAAAGTTTTTTTTTTTTTTTTTTGAGCTGTTGACAGTCATATACAATAAAAGAGCCTGAAAATAAACAGAAAATAAAACCTGCCTACCTTACACAACACCGAAGGTAGGCTTGCACTCTGGAGTAGAGTGAACACACAAATTATATCAACACACACTGCAACGGTCACAATATGACGTCACACTGCGTGAATATTTAAAAAAAAAAAAATTCAACATATAACCAACACTAAAAATAGGCCACTTAAATGCTACCAAATGCTAAAAATGTATAAATGTAAATGAACAAAAAATGTGTTGCATTTACAATCCAGTGAAATCAGCAACCCTACTTCCAGCGCCCCTACAGATGCATAGAAGATGCATAACTGATGTGTTGGTGGTCTGAAGTGTTTCCAGTGCATGGGGTCTGTATAGCTATGTGAAGGATATCAGGTGCAGGCTTTCTTCGCTTGTCTGGAATGGGCACAGGGTCATTGGGTCGTCTCCGGAGCTTCCGGGTTATATGGGTTTTTACCTCCATGGAATCTGAAATAAATGAATACATGGACAACGTACTTGGTTTAAGGGTTTAAATGAATTTCTCACACAGGATATTGTTCTCTACAACAGCAATACTAACAATGCCTTGCACAAAAACCCTCTCAGGTTGCATTTCTCTATCTGATCTCACTTTCTCACCTCCTGTCAGCTCCATTGTTAATTTCTCGTTCTCGATCATCTTCTTCTTCTCCTCCAGCTCTGCAATTAGATTTTCCTTCAGTTCCACTTTCTTATCGTCAAATTCTTTCACCGCTGCTTTTTTTTCTTTGATGTAGTTCCTCTCCACCTGCTCTGTCTACAAGAAATGTATTTTGCATTAATTAACCATTTCTGTTGCTTTCTCAGTAATAATAAATCAACAGATTCATACAATTAATGAATTGCATGCATCTTACCTCAAGTTGTAAAAATAGGTCTGAAAAGATAAAGAGAGCACAAACAAGAGATAATCATGTAAAGTTGGCTTCTGAAATATTGAGACTGACATCGAGATGAAAAGCCTTATTATAAATCATCTTTACCAGCGTTACGAAGTCTTTCTTTATACTGCTGATCGAGCTTCTTCATTCTCTTCTGGTACTCCTGCAGTGTGCCTGTGGAAATTAATGAGTATAAAAATTGATCTACTTTGTAATTTAGCTGACATTTTCTTTATCAGTAATGTATAGTACACTTATTAGGGACAATAGGCTGTCTTGATCATGGGGCACAATGGTGATAGATTACCCTTTCCATTTGAACATGCAAGCTTTTGGTTACCAGCCAGGCTACATCACTTTGTTAGACCATTATCAATCAAAACACACACTTTTCAGGACACATGGTAAAAAAATTCAATTAATTACAAGAGCATTTCCAGTCACCTTCTTGCAATTGTTGTAACTGTCGTTTCAGGGATGCCAGTCTGTCTTGATACATCCTGAAATCAAGACAAAAACAAAATATCTCAAAGAAATTATGATAGATAAGATAGATAGATAGATAGATAGATAGATAGATAGATAGATAGATAGATAGATAGATAGATAGATAGATAGATAGATAGATAGATAGATAGATAGATAGTCAATTACAAGGAATACTCACTGTTCTTTGATCTCAACATAGTCGTCTTCATCATGTTTGGCCATATCTGTTTCACTGGCATCCTCTGTGTCTGTAATAATAATAATAATAATAATAATAATAATAAATATAACACCAATAAATTAATTATACACTGATTTAAGAATAAGGTATGGTATGTCACTTTTGGACATTTAGTTTATTTACATCGTTCATTCACGTTTATTTGCACATTTTTAGCACCATCTAGCGGACAGACATGGTAGCTTGATATTTTTTACTCTGATATTATACTCTGTTGTTATTTAGATTGGAAAATGTGGCTGAAAAAAGATACATGGGCCTATAGATAATTCACATTACATATATGTTGTTTGCTGACCTTTTTTTAAACAGAGGAATTAATGTAAATAGTATTGTGTTTGTGGGGAACTGTCACAAGATGATACTAAGATTAATATGAAACAAAGATCTAAGACCATTTCAAAAATATTACAACTTTAATGTTGCTAACAATACGTCCTACGGTTTGAATTCAAAAGTTTGAGGTGAGATTTTTTTTTTTTAAAGAAATTAAATTGATGAAAAGTGAAAAAATATTTCTACTTCCAATAAATGTTGCCCGTTTCAACTTTCTCTTCAGCAAAGAATCCTGAAAAAAATTGTATGGTTTACAAAAAAATATGAATTGATAATAACAAGAAAAGATATGCTATATTGAGCACCAAAACAGCATATTCGAATGATTTCTAAAGGATCATGTGACTGACTGATGATGCTGAAAATTCAGATTTGCATAAGAATACATTGCATTTTAAAAATTATTCAAACAGATTTTTAAAATTGTAATAATATTTTACAATGTTACTGTATTTTTGTCAAATAAATGCACCCTTGGTGAGCAGAAGAGACTAAATTAAAACAATCTTAGTACTGACCCCAAACATTTAAAAGTAATAACAACGTTTCTTCTTTGAAGGATAGTTGACAAATGGACATTAACATTTTTTTTACATTAAGATGTTGGTTTAAAATATAGTTGTATGAGGGCAATATGCACAATATGCACAACCATCTTCGTAGGAACATTTTGTACCCTTCCCTTACTAGTCTGGTTTACCAGGCAACACACACACGCACTTTATAAGATGTTCCTTATATTTTATATATTCATATTGAAAAGATTTTATTATTAAGGGATACGTTAAAATACATTATGTTAACAGTATCTGATCTTATTCCCATCATCAGCCTCATCTCAAATGTGACACCAGCATTAAGCTAAGTGAGCGGAGATCAAATTCAAGCATTTCAACCCAAATATTTACCACCATAAATCAACTGTTTACCAAAATGATACTTTAAAAGCAAAAAAAGTTCACTGGTGCAACTGATTTCGAGTCTGTATGAGTTCAAAAACATCCTGCTTAATGTATTTGTTTCCTGACGTGTGCTGCTAACTCTGCTAACTGTTTATCAACAGACTGGATAGCACATAAACTACACACATATGAAAATGCATAGCCATTATACAGTTAAAGGCGTATACAGGCAACATTAAAGTATAAAAATATCACTATACAGATTAAAAAATACCGATAAAGTTGCAAAAAATAGCTCTTAAATAACAAACAGAAAACAACGACACATGCACACTTTCCTTGCATGTTTAACATAACTGAGCTCTATTTTACTATAAGCTTATAGCCAGTTCGCTCATTATCAATTGAAATATGCCTTTTAATGCATCAATCATAAATGAATGAGACAAAAAGGTAGATAAACTGAAATTACTGTGCGTATTCACCTTCTTCCGAGTCTCTGCCTCTGAAACTGCGATCTTCATCTTCATCCACACTGTCTAGCTCTTCCTCGTCGTTATAATAATCCACCATGGGTGACAGTAAAGTCGATGCCATTTATTATATTTATATATTGATAATATTGCAGGAAATACTTATGTGTAAACAATCACACTGCACAGACAACGTTTCAGTCTCAAGCCTCTTTTTTTCAATTGGAGGGTAGGCCGAGGAATCTGATTGGTGGAGACGGTCGAGTGATGCATGCTGGGGAATGTAGTTTGACCGCGTGTGTGCAAGTATGACATAAGGGGAATAAGAAAATGAAGAGAGAGAGAGAGAGAGAGAGAGAGAGAGAGAGAGAGAGAGAGAGAGAGAGAGAGAGAGAGAGAGAGAGAGAGAGAGAGAGAGAGAGAGAGAGAATAGTCTCTTCCCGTTTCAAATGTATTGTTCTTATTATCAGTCAAGGAACATGAAGATTTTCTGAAGTTGTCAGTCCCACTTCTGCCTCAGTCATGACTTTTTATCTTGGTAAGGTAAGCGTATTAATGTCATTATGAAAAGACAAGAAAAAATGCATAATTTAGTGCCATTATTTATTGGAATTGCATTGGATGCACATTGAGCTTCATTTCCATCCCACAGACTGCTATGGATAGTTGTGCATATTAAAAGTTATTCACGTTTTCAATGTATGTTAGGCTAACTGTTTTTTCATCATTATTATTATCTTTCTTCTGAACAAGCAAGTTAGTGAAATACATTGGGAAGATTTTTTATTATAAATACGTAAATATTTATATTCAAACAGCCTCTTTCCATTGTGTTTCATAAAACAGAAATACTACTAGCTGCTTCTGCTACTACTACAAATAATAATACAATCTATAAAATTATAAATATATGAATAATTTTATAATAAAATGAATGCATCAATGACAAAATAACAACAATAACAATATCATCATCATCAAAATATATTTGTTAGGGTATCAATAAACTCAGAATAACAGGTGTTCAACAACATATGGTAAGATTCAGCAAAAATGTATTCAAATCATGCGACTCATTCTACACATAAATATTGTAATATATTATATTAACTTGTCAGTGGGAGTAATCTACGAAAAAGCCTCGATCTAATCATTATTACTCTAGATTATAATCCTATCAGTATTAGTCACCCTGCCATCTCTATTGTGTCTTCATGGGCTCTTCCTTCCTCAGCCGGCAGGTGGCGGCGTAGAGTTTCAAAGCGCTTTGACTCGCGAGATCGTTTATCAGCGCTGTTACCTTGTAGCAGGTAGTAGTACGATGATGGGCTTTTCTAAAAGCGTCAGACGCTTGTCAAGTCTTTGTCAGTCGCACGGGGTTTAATACAGTATTTACGCTGGATATCATAACACGAACTGTGTGGACGTTTTTATCATCGCACTGACGGGGGAGATAGTCATGACGTCTGTCGAAAATAAAACAGGTTGATGCATTTTTTTCAGGTGTAGGAGCACTAAGAAGCCAATTGCAATGAGTTTGGAAGTTTATTTATTTCAACATTCCACCTTACAAGGACTACAGGGGAAATAAGGTGGATTTTCACGATTTATCACTGAGAAGAGCGCCTGAAGACATTTGCTTGTAACCGGACTTCTATGGAGTTGGACCTGGATTAAAGATAAAGCTTTGTTGACTCGGTAAGGCCGTTTTTGTTGGTATTCACATTTATTATGGCTTTGTCAGATTATCTGTTTTGTTTTTCAGGGGTATTTAATATTTTTGATGCGGTGCAGCGTCTATTAAAAGCGTCTTTATCGTATCTGGTGTCACTATTCGCGTCTTCATAGATTCCATCTGCGCTCGATTGATTTTCCCTTGATGAACCTTCAAAGAAGCATTTTGCCTACAACTGGTCAAGTGATACAGACAGTGTTTAACCTAAACTCTTGGACTCAATGTAGAATAGGCTATCCGTGATTGTTATTTTTATGTTGACACTCAATTATTAAACATAATAACATTTAATAGTTAAGTTAATGTATGAGTTCTAAAATAATGGATGATTAAAATATGGATGATTCTTCAATAAGCATTTTTTTTTACTAGAAACATTCAACATTTTTCTAGTGAATTAATAAGTGAATTAATTTTTTAAAGTTAGATAAATCTTGAACTTGCTGTTTAACAATTTTAGCAAATTTTATATATATATATATATATATATATATATATATGTGTGTGTGTGTGTGTGTGTGTGTGTGTGTGTGTGTGTGTGTGTGTGTGTAAAAGTCTTCAAATTAATGCCATTTCTGAACTTTAGACTGTCACTTGTTCTGAGATTGCTTTCCTGCCAATTATGTCTAGGCTATTATAAACAAACATAATATTTTTTCAATTAAAAAATTTGACAATGGTTTTAAAAAAAAAAAAAAAAACGTAAATATGCAAAGTAGCCTAGTTTCCCAGTGTTTATTATTAAAACACTTTTCTACAGTCATTTTAGAGGCTAAGTGTTTTTAAAGGAAACAATAATAGTGTAACTGACAAATGTTTCTTTCAACACTCTTACAAATTAGAGATCAACTTAGGCCTAATTAAAAAGAAAAACAAAGCTGTTACAATCTATCGTGAACTTATTATTTTTAAATCACCCTTGTTAGAGATTGTTAACCTATGGTTCTGGGCTGAGAGTAAATTGGCTGACTTTGCTGTCATGCACTTTATTTCCGTGTGTGTGTGTGTGTGTGTGTGTGTGTGTGTGTGTGTGTGAGAACTATATGCGCACGCGGCTGTTCATCCAGGAAGTCTAGACAGCAAAGACTGACAGACAGGCGAAGATGGACCTTTACAACGTTTAAAATACTCTATTTCCGGCTGAAATAAATGTTTTTGAACGGTGAATTGTACCCTTGAGCTCACGGTCACCCTACAGAAAAGAGGTCAGTAACATTTACTACATTGCCACGGTTCTCGTGGATAAAACTGTCAAAGGTTCTGCGTGACATATAATTGCACATTAATTTCAGAGTCATGCAAAAATGAATTCAATACAAACCAGAGTTTTTTAACACGGGAGTATCAAAACGGTGTTTAATTATTTTATTGCAAAGCTAACTTAGTCAGTTTGCTAACCTAACTGTTCTCAACACTATACCACCCAAACTTTCACTTCCTCTGTAGCTCAAATCATCCATACGTTCACATTCGTTTTACTTTAGTCCATTGACTTGTTTAAAAATGGAGCGCGTGAGAGGCATGATTCTTTTATGAATACAAGCAGCAGCGGATAGACGCACTTCAAACTTCAGGTTATCATATCAGTTTGACATATTCAGAGAAATGAGGCTGATGTCAGTTAAGGCTGTTTATGGTGGCTCTTTTTTTCCCTCGCCTTCAGCCCCCGCTCCTTGTGTCGCTATTTTAAGCAGCGCGTCTATCTCTCACACATGCAGCGTTTATTCTGTGGGTTGGAGATCACAATGAAGTTTATAGGCATGAGGAGCGCAGGATAGAAAGCTCTCACATTGAGGATGAAGGTACTTTTTTCTACCGTTATTTGGCGCTGTCAGCGTTGTGCATGTTGTTTTTGGGGTCATTTAGGCTAAAGAAATACCCTTTAGGCGATTCTTAGTGAAAGGGTGGATTATTGTAATATAACGTGGACGTGAATGCAGTTAGTCTTTTAGCCTATATATTGTTACGATTTCCTTGCATGGTTTATCTCGTGGTCATGATAGGGTGTAAGGGGTGGATGCAGATGCATATGATAAATTAACAATTCCGATTCGCATGATATGTGTCCGAATTAATCGCTAAGTGATTCGATTCGAATCTTTTCAGTGAATCAGTTCGACAAAACAGGTGTCATCATCATCATCATCATCACACCGGACTGAGCTATTCGTTCATGAATCGGACTGTATAGTTCCAAACGATTCTTGAGTCAACAACTGTCGGTTCGTAAACAATCCGGTTAACTCGCTAAATGGAGAACCGTCTTTATTTCGAATATATTCGATTCATATAGCTGTATTCATCCCTGCAATAAACTGACAGATGAAATCACAATAAATGATTTATGCAACTTAATAGAAAAAACGTAATTATTATAATAATGTTAGGGGGGAAAGAAATTCTGAAATTGTGGTTCGAAAGACTCAATTTACATAAATGAGTCAGTGTTTTCATCACTGTGAAACGTCATGTAATGGCTACTGATACTCATCAGCACAGCTGTTTTTCAGATAGAGGTGAAACTGGGTCGATTTCGGTGCTTGTCATCTATTGCAGTCATACATCTTATCATTTGCATGCGTTTTTAAGGATTGTGGTTTAAAAACAAGTGATTTTAAACCGTTGAAGCACAATAAGCAGCGTAAGGGAACTCATTTCATATGCAAGCGCTGTCTGAGAAACAGTGCCCCATCTGTTATCATCATTTATCTCTGAAATTAAATTAAACAGTTGAGAAAGAAAACGCAATGCATTCAGTCTTAAAGTGACAGCAGCCGGATATACCTGCTGTCGTATGTGCCATTATTGTTAATCATATACAACAAAAGAGAGAAAACTGCACAATGCAAACTTAAGTGGTTAATCCAGGTTTCCTTCAGGGGGTATAATACGTATAGTAAGTGTGCTGTAAACTTGCTAAACTCTTCTCTGCCTATGTGGGCATTGGGAGACCATTGTATTATTGGCTTCAGGTTGACTCTTTAGTTTAGTTACCGGTAGTTTAGTTATTAACAATTTGGTGACTGATCAAGGTGAACTCTGAAACTCGAAGTCTGTGTGTGATTCGGGGTTTAATGGTTTATTGCTCTCACATCATTTATAGATTTGCTTATCTGATTGCTGGATGTTTGGTAACTGGGACATTCCTAAATTAATAGCATTGAGACTAGTCATGTTTTCATTACAGGAAATACACTTGTTTGTCAACTGTTTTTTAACCTTTTTAAATGTTGCTTTGATAGCATTTGTCTCTATTTTCTATTCATTTCATGTCATGATGTGAGATCAGGTTATATATTTGCTGAATCTACAAAAGTTGTTTAACTTAATTTAACGTATGTTTTGTTATTTAGTAATGTATAATTATTATTTATTTTGGTACATTTATAACATTTGGAAAGCCTAGACTTTCCAAGCCAGCAGCATATCAATTAAATAATCGTGCCAGAAGATAATTTATTTAATATGGTTGGTATTTAATATGATTGGTTTCATGTAG